AATTTTACATAAAGAATTCTGCTGGGGTTTGGGAAGACGGGGCCATCACACAGCCTCTCCTGTTATTCATATCAGCCTAATCCTGATGACGGAGCGGCGAGGAGAAGCTGCTGGTACTAATGCTGCAGAGACATGTATTTTCTTGGAAACTACGGCACCATTTAATCGAGACTGTGATCTGATTCGAAATGTGAACACGTAAATCGTTTGGCGTCTGCCACAGTCCAATTTTCTCTCCAATCACATAATTAAGAGCATCAGGAAACTGTCCACCGGCAGGGTTTTACAGACTTATGTGAACAGGCAGTATTCATTTTTTCAAACTCTGTACAGATCTGTGTGTGTGTGTGTTCACCGGATAAAGCACTGGGGGAATATTGAAGCCTGATGCCCCCCGGCTATGTCTTAGTTGGATCTAGAAGAGAGAAGAGACTGAGACAGGAGAGGGAGAGAAAGAAAGAGAGAGAGACACAGATACAGTGGTAGAGAAACAAGGTATAAGAAGAAGTAGTGGTGATAAAAAGATCTTAGTACAAGTCCAGTGAGTATGTGTAGTTCTATGAGTGTTTGAACACTATCCTTTGAAAAATACATCACATCTCATTACATTTAGCTAGATGGACACACACACACACACACGTGCAGACACACAACAGATGGGGACCTGGGGGATGTCCTCCAGGTAGAAGAATCCCAGGGAGCCCCTAGAGACAAAGCAGAGTAATGATGAGGACGACAAGGAGGAGAAGGAGGAGGAGGAGGAAGAGGAGGAGGGAATGTTTTTATGCATAAACACAAGTACAAAATGTACAGTTATTACTGTACTGTTCAATGTACTATAGTAAATCTACTGCTAGTACTACAAAGATGAAGCATAAATATAAGTAATATAATTGTGAAATCTGCTATGAGAAAAAAATATCTGCCTTTATTAGACTCATGATCAGCTGGTGTTTACGTTCAAATAGCCTCAGTGTGCACCATGGATTCAAAGGAACAATGCATTTAATGTTGGTCTGGAACTTTGTATCTCACTGATACAGGCTTAGTGTTTACTGTTTGTCACAGAGTGCAGTGCTGAGTGTGACTGATTATCTAAAATCTGTCTACAAAACAAGAACTGATTGACTGCATTCAATTGTCAGTGAATTAGTTTTAAATATTGCAGCACAGACAGGGTGAGATGTTTGATGAAGAGCTTCAGGCATCAACAAACCTCCAGCTTTAAAACTACAACTGAAAAAACATTGCGTCATTGCGTCACCAACACAAGTCCTCTTGGCTTGTTTAAGAGATATAAGATCATAAACTGCTTGGGAAATAAACAACCTGCCTAAAGATACTGTAAGTGTTTGGACTGTGGGCATGACAGTATATAATCTGCATGGAGGTTGGAAGAGCTGCAACTGTGATCACTTTTTATTTCTCAGATTTTGTTCATTATGGTGACGGGAGTTTCGGCTCTTTTAAGAGAGCGGGTGCATTTGACTCAGCTCAGCAATGAGAGACGGCTCTAACAATGGCAAATCGTGACAAATAAGCAAAAGAAAAAAGAAAACTTGCTCTCAGATAGGAGCCGGATCAATTCATTAACTCCACACAGTTTAGATTATTTCACAAAACGATTTACCCACCAATTACTACATCTAACACTCTATAATTTAACAACCTCTCTTTATCCTGCATGATGAGGATTGGCTGGCTTGTTGTGAACTATATACTGTATATGTATAGTGCAAGTATTTATGGTTCTATGGTTTATTTGTATTGTGTTTTACTGAATTATGAGTTTTAACTTTTATTAAAAAAAGTAATCACACAACCAGTTTGTTAAATAAAAGCAGTTTGAAAAAGTATCAAGTGATTCTAATGTAGCCCACTTTAAAACCTTCCTACTGTGCCTCACTCGTCCTTTCACTGTGAAGCTCTTTTTTTTAAATTCAACTCTCCGTCCCTCCATCACTCACCCTCTCTCTTTTATTTGCCTTTATTTTCCTTTTGTCCCCCTCTACTTCTGACCTAACTAAAAAGCTGTGCACGGTGCCTCACAATGAAGTTCGCCTCTTTCAAATGTTAATGCTTTTACTCACGGCTCAGTGCACAACGCAGGGCACGTAACAGAGCTGGTCAGAAAAACAACATTGTGAACACATGCACACAATCAACACTGACGCACACACACACATGCATGCGTGCGCGCACACACACACACACACAGAGCAGAATGGCTGAAGTTACAGTGAATCCAAATGAACTGCCACTAAGAGGCCTTCAGGTGTGATGGACTGCAACACAGGGGAAATTGAGACATACTAAATTATCATGTAGAAAGAAAGAGAGAGAGATGAAAGAGAGAAAGAAAGAAAGAAGGAGAGAGATGGAAGAACAAAAGAAAGAGTTGTGAAGGCCAATGATGGAAGAATGTCAATATTTATAGCAGATATATTTAGGTTTTTCATCTTTCATACAAAAAATTCTATTACACTTGGACTAACAGTGTGTGTGTGTGTGTCTCAGAATTGTTGACATTCTTGCTGCTTCGTTAAATATTAGTGGGAACATGTCACATAAACAAAATCTCATGGCATCCCTGGGTGCATGTGGGTGAATCTGGCTTGAGTATGGATTGGCTCCAACCCCCCCCCCCCCCCCCCCGCCCCTCGCGACACATATAGATAATAGATCGATGGATATTTCCTCGACACTGTAAAGCTACTATGCATCTTTCCAAGGCAAGCTTCCCCTTCAAGCAGCTGAGAGAACAGATCCAAATACTGGATGTAGTTTACTGGACAACAGCATTGCCAAAAAAACACCGTGACTATCTGCTCAAATGTCACTACATGTCATGTTATGTCAGGCACACACATACAGATAAACTCCCATTCTCAAGCTCAACTCTTAGAATTAGATGAATCTCTTACAGGGTGGTTGTCAAGTTCAGTTTGGGGTGTGGAGGGAACTAGTAACAATTTCAGCAAGTTCCTGAACGGTGTCCAAGTGTACGAGGGGGTAATTGTCTCCAGTATGATGCTTCATATTATGTGAACAAACATCTCGTGTCTATTGTCGCCAGCAATCTATTTGATGTGCAGGTTAATTCGTTTAATAGCTCTGTGTTTAGCTCACTGACGACTTGTTGAGCCAGATCGCTCATCCTCATTCCCCCTGACCACTAAGAAGCTAATCTCCCCCTCTGGGACCATTACCTACTTTGTTTCTGTCGGACCACAGCTTAGCACGGCAGGGGCTCCGTGCCGGGTTATCTAACCATATGCTCCGAGGCAGATCTGGGCTCAGTCTCCCGTGGGAGATGTTAATAGATTATTTCTTCAGCTCATGTGATAATTAGACTGTTGGGGCTGGAACTGTCTCTTGTGCTTTCTGTTTTAGGGAAGCGTCTGTGTGAGTTTGAAAGGTACGCAGGGGGCAACCCAAACAACCCACCTTAAGCCTCCTCTAGCTGATTGATGGATGAAGAGTCCAATTGAGTCATTAAGAGAAACAGTTCTGTGTGTGTGCAGTGTTCCATCTACAGTTTAAATTGAAAAAGTACAGCTATTAGAGACCCACGCCATCATCACCCCCGGGGTACCCAGCAAGCACCTGGACATGCTGCAGTATGTGCGAACCTCAGCTGCCATTGTTGTCACCCAAATCAAGCCCTGGCAGCACATCACCCCCCCCCCACTCTAATCCATCTTTACTGGTTTCCCGCATCATATACAAAATCCTCCTCCACACCTATAAATGGCCCCCAAGTATCTGTCTGACCTTCTCCACCACACTCCATCATGGAACCTAAGGTCCTCAAATAACTCTCTGCTCACTATCCCCTGCAGCTTGAAAATCCACAGAGAGAGGACATTCAGTGTAGCAGCCCTGACCATTTGAACTCTTCCCCTGCAGAGATCCCCAATGCCTCATACCTGGACACCTTTAAAAAAAACTCCTCAAAGCCCAACCGTTCAAAAAGGATTTTTACCACTAATTTTTCATGCTTCAGCAACCATTTCCACTATTACCTTCAGTCCTTGGTTTGTAAAGCGGCCTTAGCGTTTGTTATTGTTATCATCATTATTCATTTTATCACCACATCACTTTGTTCTTTTCATCTCAAGCACCCATCGGAGGACTTGGGTTTATATTTTGTATGGTTGAACCCGTCAGACCATAGAGCAAGGAGTTGTCCTGTGTTGACTCCACAAATAGTAGGAATCTTACAACACCTATGGTGAAAAAAGCACAACACCCATCTGCAGTATTCAGTGTCAGGCTGATCAACTCCCTCAAACAGGTGGGTGCTGTCTTTGCTGTGATAGTTTCAGACAGAAACAGCCAGGACAAGCTTCGATATTCTTGGGTAACAAGGGGACGAGTCCTGCGTCATCTGACTGGTTACATGAAAAGAAGCTACAGTGATGACATCAGCACCTTTCTGAAATTCAGAGATTTTCAACAAGATGTATTTGGACTACCCACGCAAAAAAAAGGTAGACCGTTGTGTAAAAACATGCTAGGTGCAGCACTTTTTCTCTAGGCAGGCCCATGAGGCCACACTCACTCTCTCCTGATTGGGAACAGAAGACTACTTATAAAAAATGCTGGTATGCTTGTAAGACTGAAAAAAATATATTGTATTTGTGAAATGCATCTTATGCTTGGCTGATTTGATCATTACAGAGCTGTCAGATACACTATGTGACTATAATGGATGACTTCAGAACACTAACACCACTCACAGAGCACAGTCAGTAACAAGTTGATTATTAGTTTTTGTACTGTTATGAATTGATCGATTTATTTGACTTTGCATTTATTCTTTTACTCCCTGTACAGAACTGTTGCAGCCTTTTTACAAGTTCTCTGCACATGTATAATCTCAAAAATCCAACTTCCTCTCGGTCGGATATGCAGCGCTTGCATAAGAGTTATATGACAACCTGTTTTACAATCGTAAGGACAGGAAATGCAAAATGATAAAATGGACTCATACACACCTGAGTACGACCAGTCAATATCTTCTGGGAGTTTCTTCAGGCCTCTGACCAGTGGCTCCGCTGCCACAACTACAGGAGAGAGAGACACACACACACAAATAATATCATTGTTGTTTTGAATTTAAAAAACACACAAATGCACTGAATGTACGATGCAACCATGACCAGACCAGCTGCTGTGTGGCATTGACATATAAATGACAAGCTTTTCCTATTGTTCAGGGGATAAGTCTCATAATAGTCATGTTTTACTCTCTCACTCTCTCTCTCTCTCTCTCTCTCTCTCTCTCTCTCACACACACACACACACACATACTGTACACCATTTTAAAAGGGGAACTAAAGAACGTCACCATTTACCATTAGGAGGGTTTTTTCAGAACACACACACCTTTTTATCCCACTGCAGTAATTTTCACTCAGGGACATTAGAAACAATGATGATGAAGTCACAGGTGGAGGACTCCATGTGTGAATTTGTGTGAGTGCTATTTGCCTCAAGGCTGAACAAGCTGACCATTTGCTAAAAGCTCACTGTCCCTCTCCTCTTGCTCCTTGACACACACACAAATGCCTCTTCCTCAGTAACTTGTCTTTTTCTCCATTTTTTTATTTTCTTTATACATTTATACCTTTATATCTTCCTGCTAATCATTAAGTAACAGCCAATGCTGCATGTAATGGTCCATAAATAAACTGATTACAGAGAATTTACGTTGTCTATAAAAAGACCACATAGTTGGTCTGGCATGAACACTCTGCCAACCTTTTAAATCATTTGATCAGTAGCAGAGGGAGTTAATGGCATCTGAATAATGTAAGCAACATTATCAAGTGTTATGCCCTACTGAGAAAGACATACATTAAAAACGCAACATTAAAATTGTAATTGAGAGCAACAGACTTCATCCTCATAATTTTAATTTTGAGTTTTCAGACAAATGCAATTTAATGGACTATAACACTTTTCCTTTGTTACAAATGCACAAACGTTCATACAAATCACTTGTTCGATCACACATCATTCACACCCACTGCTGTCAGGGGCAATTTAGTCGAGATATTTTGATACTAACATCAATATGTCGCCACTGCTGCTGAAAATGCCAAGTCAGTCATTGACGAGTATGCAAATTTACGCACCAATCCAATATCATGTCTTCATGTTGCATGAATTTTAACCAAATAAAACTGCAATTTTCCCTCTTCCCAAAATTATTTCTTCTTTGCTGCTTCAAAAGTGAAGTTGTGCTGTACTGCCACTGGCAAGTGTTGTTTCTAGAGCAGCAAAGAAGATGGCCAGAGCCAGCTAAAGTGTAATTTAACTAAAATCACAGAAGCCAAAATGTCAGATTATAAACTAAAGTGCAATTTGGCAACATTTCACACTGGAAAGTCCCACAAGTAAAATGCCATATGCACCAAATGCAACAGTTTTTCAAAGGATTTAACAGCAATGAGTAGCATAGCATAGAGATAGAAATATGGTTTATATGTGATTATTTTTTTAAATGCACTGGTGCATCTGTACTTGGCATTGACCAAAACACAAAGTCAAGGTATCAGAATAGCAGAGGAAAGATGGTATCAGCACATCTCTACAATTTAGGGTTCGGTGTCTTGCCCAAGGACACCACGGTATGTGGACTGTAGGTGCCAGGGATCGAACCACCGACCTTCAGTTTAGTGAAGCTCCACCTCCTGAGTCACAATCGCTCTTATGTGTGCATGTGTATTACAATGATCCTGTAAAGCACTTAGCACACAAACAGATGGCAAATCTGATGTTTTTCATGGAATCAGAAAACAATGTAATAAAGCCTGTTGCTGAGCTAACCCCCCCCCATTATGCCAACAGATTTTAATGTTGTTGCTGATTAGTGTGTAGTGAGGACGAAAGAGCAGGACTGGCATGCTAATAATATAGTCAAATCTGAAAACTTAAAGGGGAAATAAATACATGGAATAAAAACTACATCCTTTCATTTTTGATCTTTTGCAGCACACAGACATATCAAAAACCTGTCCTGTAAGAAGATGAAAGCCTGTGTTGAGTGAGATTTAGGTCACAGACAGCTATCATCAAATGCACAACATTAAGTCTGTCCATGCAGCACAGATGAACTCCGCATATAAAGCAGGGGCAGCGGGATAAAGCTGGATAATAATAAAAAGAAAACACTGGGCAAAATACTGCACAAATGCAACAGCTTACACTTTTAACAAACCATGTGCTGCTGAGCCACTGAAGACATGCGATGCAGTGCACCCCCCCTCCCGTGTCATCTGTAAAATCTTCTGCATCAATGAATATTCAACAAACCCTGACACTGATGCAGTCACAGGGGGATTTTAATGTTGAATCTCACACTCGTTCAACTTATTTTGGCTCCTTCACTTTTGCTGATGCTGCCAGTAATAAATATTTTCTTTTTGTGGGTTTTTGGAGGTTGCGTGGACCTCATGAGGAGCTAAAAACAAACTACTGATGGGTCTCTAAGGCTACATCCATGATGCTACATTTTCAATTCAAAATTAAATTTTCAAACTAAGATGATCTCTGTCCACACAAGCGTTTACTCTGTTAGTTTTAATCCCCATCCATACTAACAGTTTCTTATCATCTGCGTTTCTTACTAAAACGCAGCCCTGGAGTTTTCAAACTGAAATGGGGACAGTAGCATTTCCAAACTCTCAGTAGTTTGGATGCCAGGTGTATCCGTAGCAGATTTGATACATTTTCAAACAAAAGCGTGCAGGAATACTCTAATCTGAGAGGTGACTCTACTCTTAGGCCTAAAGAGATTAATCCAGAGCATGGTTAATAGTATGGAAGTTCATTCTCAATAAAAACATTGAATTGATTTAAAAAAACAAACAACAATGTGGATGTATTGGATAAGTCTCCCGGGAAATGATTTAAGTCTCGGACACATGATCACTGTGAGATATACCAGACCAACACCTAAATAAAACGTGGCGACAGATGGACTTAAATGTTGTGTAGATATCAGTGTGTACTGTGAAGCTCCAGCATCATTCACACTGCTCTCGCTATAACTTCAGTGTATCAGATGATTACATTCATGTCGGCACAAAGCTGTAGAGACCGATGAGAGAAATGAATGAGAGCATGGAAAAGGGAGAATGAGCCAGGAATGGAGTTGACTGTGGGATTGTGGCGTCAATAATGGCTTCATTAACATCACACTGTGAGGGATTTTAATCTAATTTGCCCTTGGCAACTCAGTGCGACGCGCACACACACACACACACACACACACACACACACTAATAAAGGCAAGTAAAATGCTTTAGAGATGTTTTAATTCATTATAAAGGCTGATTCATGCAGTTTTTACGATGAAAATAGATGTTCCTGAATCACATTACGTGTATATTGAGAGTATGATGAGTCAAGTAGGCATGTCAGGTAGCTTGTTGTAGGAAGGGAAAACTGAGAACGCTGAGAAACGAGAGAGACAAACTGGCCATGAGCTCAGGAAACACAGGACTTAAATACACGATCAAACAAGCGCACAAGCAAATAAAAGCTTCAATGAGAAACAGGAAACACAGACCTAAAAATACAAACAGTGATAGAAATCCAAAAAACAAACACAACAAGGTCAAAGTCAATAAACACGAGTCCAACAAAGAAATCAAACCTATTTGTGTTTCTTAATTGAGGTAATGTATGTTCCACATGTTTCCGCTGTGGTGACCTCACAGTAAGAGACACATACAGTAGCTGTCTGCATATAAAAGAGGAACGAGGTGATGAGGCAGAACTGCACCGGCAGAGAGCCAACAGCAGCAGAGACCCCGGTGCTCAGCTTTAGAGCACAGTGGACAGTGAAGGGACTTCATTGCTGCAGGCTGACCATGCATGAAGCTCACAGCTGAATCACTGTATTATTCCACCCATCTGCACTCAATCTGCTTTATCGGATCTCCCAGGAGGCTTCAGAGGCCTGACATTCAAGGTTTAGGTGACGGCTGCTGCAGCGAAGAGACACTTCAATGGAAAGTGTTCCACTCATCCAGGGAACGGTTGACGTTCTTGCAGGTTCGCATTCCAACAATGCTCTGCTTCCGCCTCGCACGTTTGCACTTCTGCTGCATCTCTGATGAATCGAGCACAGCCCTAAACACACTGGAGTCCAGGAGTGGTTTACAGTTGTGAATGTGTAATAAAAATATGCTTCAGCCTCAACTGTGTCCTGCATTTTAACAAGAGAGAGAGGATGAGTCCAGGGCTGTGAGTGAGAGACAGAATAATGACGCAAAGTGAAATGAGCATGAGTATCTGCCAGACACCTGATACTCTCATGCTGAAGTGTTAGTCACTGAGCATAATTCTCGACAAGAGCTCTACTCATTAACATGTAATGTGGTGAAAACATATGGGGCCACTGCACCACTGAAGAGCCTCACTTCTCACCTGTCAGTCAGGTCAGGGGACGTCAGAATGACATCTGATCTCATGTATCGCTGCTCATTTTAAGTTCTTCACTGACCCAATGCAAACAAAAGGGAGATGTTCAGTGTTATTTAAATTAGGTCCAAGGTCAATTCAAATGTTGCACATATTTTAATCAAATGTTCCGATAATCTGCAAATCTGCATCTACTTTTATATGAATATTCGGGATCGGCCATTATACCATGACTTCTTTAAAAAAGTGCATATCAAACTTCAAACAAGTACTGTGTACTATTAATGTTTTTAAACTTTCCCTTCATTTCAATTACATGAAATAGTTGGAAAAGTTATGCATAAACTCATTGGAGGAGGGGCCACTCACAAGTATGGATATGATTTTTTCATAAAATAATCAGATTCCCAGTTTTAGACATTTAAATAAGAATTATTATATCATAACCTGATCTTACTGAACCGAGCTGTTAACTTAAAGTTCAAATTTTTTCTATAAATTTTTTCTGTAAACAACTCTCTCTCTCTCTCAGCTTTTGCTTTTTGAGGAAATAATGATTAGTTAGAGACTCACACATAAACGTGGACAAGGTCCATAAAAGTGGAGGTGATGAACCTTTCTACTCTCGCTC